AAATAATCGCACGAAAATGTTCAAGTGTTAATTCCATTTTTTGGCCGAGATGGATTTTTCAAGTCTCTGTAAATAAAACAGTTCACAATTAAATGACAACAAGTTTGGAGTAATGTTATGCTAAAAAATGTTAACCTTTCCAATGGAAATGTCAGATTGCATCTGGCAACACTTAGTGTTGCCTAGGCCAGAAATATATATAGCAGCCCTCGTATTTCTCATAAAACATCACACAGGTAAGGTTAGGTTATTCAAGATGTCATTTATTCTAGGTACCCATACGAGTTTGACATTTATAAGTTTAGCCAATTCATTGAGAAATGCCTGTTATGGGTGTGGCTGAAGCGCATATGAAACATTTGATTTACATTTGACTTTAAAACTTCTGTTCTGTAGATACGATTCTAAAACTGAGTGGATGTTTTGCAGTCATAATGGACAGCGTATGCTTGTTTTACATCGAAAAATACCGCAGAATAATATTCTCTGAGCTCAAATGCGTGTTTTATTTCATTGTAATGCGATTCACTTGCTCAATAGTTCCATTTTTTTCCCTAAAACCAAACTGGTGGTAGGGTATTAGGTTTTGACCATCAAGGAATGATATCAGCTTTAAAAGCACTGCTCTTTCAAAGAGTTTTGAAAGGCATGGCAATAAGTTTATTGGCCTGTTGAAAAAGGTAAGAGTGGGATTTTTGCCTGAGTTATAAACTATTACAATCATGAATGTTTTCAACTATGTTGATTAAAAGCTAAATTTAATGATGGCATTAAAATTTATGGCCATAATGGGTAAGTTTTGTGTCATCATGGGTGAGATGTTATCTTATTCCGGTGCCTTTTTCAGTCTAATATATTGATGATTATTTAAACAAGATCATTGGCCGTAATTTTCATATGAATAGACCGTGCATAAACAGGTTGAAATACTTTTTTCAAAGATAGTATTCAACCTGTCTTTGAAATGCAGGATTTGGTTGAAATACCTTTTTTAAGTTATCAGCAAATGTGTTAGATTTTGTTTCATCTCCTTGCGTACACTTTCCGAGACAGTTTCTTATGGGACAATCGAATTCTATGAGGGAATTGGTACTTTTGCTGGCATTTCATAAGGATAAATGTTTTTTGTCATTTTGTCATAGATATAGCTGTCATTGCGATTGGAGATGGTGAATTAATAGTACCTAGGCATCTGCAGTTTTCTGCCAATAACATAATAGGTTGGGCTTTTAAATGAAAAATACAACTATAGAACGCAAAATTCTCTCACATCAACTTTACAAACCGAAATGTTAGATTCATGCCCCTCTACATTGATGGAATACAAGTTCCACATTCTAATATGGCTAAATACCTCGGTGTTACATTGGATGCAAAGCTGAGATAAAATTAACATGTAAAAATAAGAAAAATAAACTTAATATAAAATACAAATCGATAAAATGGAAAGGAGTAAGTTGTGCTTCTGGCGCCATAATGTTAAGAAGAGTGGCCTGGGCTAGTTCAACTTTGTACCGCTGTAATGCCACCATTTCATTAGGCGACCAGTCGATTGTTGTTTTATCATTTTTGCGGTTCCCAGGCATCAGCGAAAACAAACGTTTTTGACTGTGCACGGTGCATCGTAGGAAGGGACTTTAGAAGTTTAACATTCTTAACAACTGCCGCAACTGTTTAACAGTTTCAGGTAGAGGGAGCTCACGTACGGGCTGCACTTTACTTTCTGGGGGATATGACCCAAAAACTGGATCTACTTTTGGTCATACACACACTTACAGAAATTCACAGCCAGTCCTGCTTGCCTTTAACATTCGAAAACCACTCTTAAGTGCTTTTCCTGCTCTGTATTGTTCTTAGATGCAATGAGGATGTCATCGATATAAGCGAAGTCACCTAACGTTTGCACTGCATTACAGAGTCCGAGCGTCTTAAATTTGAATTCGAACAGGCCAAATGTAGTTGTAGTAGCTATTTTTGGGATGTTGGTGACTGCCACTGAGATCTGAGGGTTCGCCTTCTGCAGATCTGTCTTCTAGGCAACCGTCTTTGCATGTAAAATTGACATCACATTATATATGAATGAAATTGGGTAACGGTCGCTATCTTTTTTACGTATTATATGAAGTGGACTGTCTCAATAGATTTTGGATGGCTGACAGATACCCGCTTGCACTAAAAAAATTCTTTCTTCGCTTCTGTAAGTTTGCTGTCAGTTAGGCGTGTCGGACGGGCGGATGATGGTGGGTCATGCAGTGCTCCACTGACGTAACGGTATTTCGTCGATTCGCTCTCATCGTTGCCAGGTTATGGTACTCATGTAACAACCACCTTTGACCATAACCGTTGTTTTTTTGTCAACCAGTCACTTTCGTTTCATGTCAACATACAGATCATAGTGCCTTACGAAATCGGCACCAACGACAGGCCATATGACGTCTGCAACCAAGAAAGTTCTTGGGAAATCGCGTCTTAATCCAAGGAATAACAAAAGACGTTTTGTACCATATGTGCGTATAGGTGTGCCATTGGCAGCAAATAAATTGGGTGATGAAAAGACAACTAGCTTACCTTGCTTAAGACTGTCCTTCCTCGGTAGTACCGATAGATCCGTTCCCGTGTCGATAACAAATGAAGTCGATGTCAGATCTTATACAGTGAGTCGAGCTATTATAGCGCTACCCTCTAATCGGCTGGACGTCAATTGAGACGCGCTTAGTATTTTGACTTTGCGTTTGTGGTGCAAATGGCGGAATTTGCGTACATGCGTCCCAAATCTGCTATGAAACCAGCACCAATCCTGCGTGCTGATTGTCGAGTTCTTGGCGTTCGTCCAAATTCAATCGGCTTAACCGCTGCTGAAACTGTTCTAATCATCGGCGAAGCCTGCTACACCTATCCGGTTAGTCAACTTAGCTAACTCTACCAGGTCAACGCTCAATGCCTGCAATCTCCTTCATAGCACGTACTTGCGGTGGTAGACACTGGAGCCAGAGACACTTCAGCAACTCATCACTAACTTTGTCTTTCGACAAAGCTGTCAGCTTGTTTAGTAGTTGCGTGGGCCGGCGGTCTTCCAACTTGATTTATGAGAGTAGCCACTGTATCTTTCGTTGCTCGCTCTCACTATACCGCTGACTTTTAAAATTGTTGTATTTACCTGTGGTTGAAGAGACTGGGATCGCGGAAACGATGGTGTTGAATTTTGTGACATTGTTAGAAATGCCTGCAACTGCAAATTGCGCTACGATTTCCGCGAACCAAATCTCCAGCCGTTCGTGGCAAAATGGCGGCACTTTCACGGTCATGCGGTTCAGATTGCCTTCTGATAACTCGCGTTCTCGTTGCCCCGCTGTGGGTTCGTTGTCAACTGTTGAGGACATTTCGTGATAACGTCACGCTGCAGGAATTCATAGTCGAATCTCTTTAATACAGCTCTGAAAATAACTTTTTGAAATGAAAAATAGTCGTTAGAATGACTTTTTAATAGTTCAATAGTTCTGAAAAGAACTAATCACTTCTGGATCACCACTTTAGTTATTCTTTATAACACTTTATTTATTTTACTTATACTATACACTTTCATTTGTTTCCGGATATTGCATTAGTTTCAGCTGCTGACCTGTTCTCCTGATCGTGTGGATCATGTTAGAATATGTGTTTTAGGCTGATGCTGCCACTCTAGAAATCGAAATATTGCTGTTACTTTATTGAAGAGAAACTGTTACGCAATTGGTTTGTATCAGTCACAGCACGTTGACCATCAACAGTGTATTCTTCATTTAACCTTAAAACATGTTAACAATAACTTGAAGTATAGAAAACCATTATCTTTAAATAATTTATATAATTACGTTAAATTCATATGAACAGAAAAGATTTAACCGAAACGAGAAAATATTAAACATCGTCAACATCAAGCAACGTCATGGTATGCAGTAGTTGTTTGAATTTAGTGCGGCATTTAAGCAATTCGAGATTATGAATAAATTCGTTTGATAAATTTTCAAACTTGTGGCATTACTAATTAATGCTAAATGAGCAGTATTTAACATTTTTATTTTTGTTGCAATTGTCTTATAAGTTGTTGATTTGTTTTTAATTATTATGCTTTGTATATATCCATGTATTGCATTTTTTAATGAACAAAGAAATCAAAAATTCCTTAATAAATAATTAAAGAATAATTTCTTCACAATTACTAACCTGTCAGTTATTTTCACAAATTTTATTAAAAAAAAACTTTTTTAAAAAATTTAAATTTACTCATTAACACTCGCAACAGTTGTAAATAATAAACAGCTGACTAAAGTTTTCCATTTTCTTCCAAAAATCATTCACTATGGATCACTTTTAAGATATAGCGTCATTGTAGTACGAGAGGCTTATTTGTTAAGCATTTACGGGAAAGTGGGCTTATTTTTGCGAATTTTGTTTTTGCTTTGCATGTTAATTTTTAAGCGACACGTGTTCTTTTGGAGCATTCATGTCAAAATAATGCACCTTTCGTTCCTTAAGAATATGAGGATGTTTTAGCCAAGTTTTGGATAAATTAAATAACTGCACGACTTTGAAATTTTTCTAAATAAGTAATACAAAATAGTAAAAAATGTTTGACTTCTTAATTTATATACATTTATTTGTTACATTGTGGGACGGATTTTTGACTAAGAGATTAATTTTGCTTAATAATAGAGTACTATTCGTCTTGGAATGTTTTTCTACAAACAAACTTAACATAAATTTTCTATTAAAATATATAAGTTATTAATTTCTTGTTTTTAGAAATTTCTGCTAATAATACTTAATTGTAATTTCTTGTTTATAATTTTTGGGTTATTCCTGACCAGTTGACTTCCTAAGTGGATAAGTTGTTTTCCTATTTGGCTCTTTTAAAAAGCAAAACCTCTCCACATAAGTCCTCATAAAATTATCGAAGTATTAATATTTAAAATTATTTTTAAAATAATGAAAAAACTATTAAAAAAATAACTATTGTTTGTTTGAATTTTTTTGTTTTATATACATGCAATATTAATAAATTATTTGACCTTTCTATATTTGTTTTAAAAAAAGCTAGAACTAATTCTATTTACTTCTTGTGACTTCTATTACGTTTCGAGCTAGCAATTAACTCTTGCCGTTTGTAAAGTTGTTGAGATTGATTCTTTCCTGAACTGTTGGTGCTGAATTTATCTTCTGTTGAGTGATTGTTTTGCTGCATTTTACGTTCAAATTCTTCTGTTTTTGACCGTAAAATACTTTCTCCAATGTTAGAAATACTTGTTGAGAGCTTAGGTTCATTACTTTTCATTCCAAGATTACATGTGCAGGATAATATATTAGGAGCTGGAGTCAATTGAGGTAATTGCATATTTGGAGTTATAAATGTGGCAGTCTTCCCACCTATATTGTGTATTTCCTGCGAGCCAAAAATAGATGATCCTGATATTCGCCGACCTAAAATTTATAATGATATAAGTTTATTACAAATATATTTACAAATTAAAATGTAATAATTTATACCATCAACTTCTTGTTCACAAAGCACTTGCTCACTGGGAGGAATATCTGGGTTTTTCCGATTATTGCTATATAAATTTGTACTTGTTTTCACATTAGAAAACAAATGTTCTTTTTTGTTGGGAACTAAATCCGTTTGCAACGATACTGGTATTTGGAAGCTTGCAGATACAACCCCTTCAGATTTATTGAGAACATTTGGAGTTGACTGGCGTCGACTTGATGGCGTGTGCTCTACAACAATATTTGCCATATTTGTAGGGTGTCTAAATATTATAAGAATAAAATCATTACATTTGATGCAAATAATAGCACTCTATTCGGCATGAAAAAAAGGTTGACATTTATACATGATTTTATATTTATACATGATAGATAGATTAGTTTAAAAAAATATTCGAACATTTATAATGTTTATATTCACAGTTAAAGGTTTTAAAGCTATAGTTTCGTTACAAATCGAAAATTTGCTGGTTTTCCATTGTTTTTTTTAATAAAGTGTATATTACAATTTACTTTCAATGCAAAAAAGTTCATTGTTGTAATTTATTTGGAATAACATTCCGTCAAAAAGAAAACCTATGAGTACTTACTTAACATTCAGTATCGTTAAAACTCGTTAAGTCCGAAAATGATAACATTAAAGAAATTTGTAGAACGGTTTTTGAGATATCGTCCAATAGCAACTTTTTCATTTTCGGTGTGGAGGACATGCGTCTTTCTCTGCGGTGACGTCACGAAACTCTTTTTTGTAAAAACTGTTTCTTTGTCTACATTGATAGCCGATCGCCTCCTCTGCAGCTATACGCATAAAGTTGGAGATGTGGTTTCATTGCGTTATCAGTTTCTTCAAATTTATTTTTCAGACATTGGGAGAGCTGAGTAGCGAAGTCATTAGCTGTCTGTTGTGATTGCAGTTTTTCGACGTGCTTGTTCACATATCTTTTTCATCGCACATAGACTTGTGTGGATCTTGGCTGCAACAATATAATGATCCAATTCGATGTTGGCTTCTTTGATAGTACTAGACACTGAAAGTATGCCTTCCGTCTATCACAACGTGATCAATTTAAGATTTTTTGTTTTGGTCATGTGATAGCCATGTTGCATTTTGTTGTTGTGATGCTGGAATCTGGTATTACTAACCACCATATTTTTAAACGCATAGATTTCACTTAGACTTGTTCCATTATCACTAGTTTTAATAAGAAGGCTGAACTCTCCGACAGTAGCACTAAATATATCTTCTTTAACCACTTTTGTGTTGAAGTCTCCTACAATGGTTTTGACGTCATGTTCATATGCTTGTTTAAGCTGTTTATAGAAAGATTTCTTTGTGTCATCATCTTGATCTTCAGTCGGGTCATGTGCACAAATTAGGGTGATGTGGACAAATTTTGCCTTAATACGGATTTTGACAAGCATTTTGTTTATTGACGTAAATGTTGGAACCAATTTTCTCAACCTTTGGGTTACCGAAAACTCGACTCCGAATTCGTATATTATTACATGGCAGCTGTAGTAGACGTCACAATGTTCTCGATCAGTCCATCTTTGTCTCGTCTATCGCATTTTCTGGAGCGCAGTACTGTCAGCCTTTTATTTCATGAGGACATCAACCAACTGTATATATGCAGCTTCTATGTAATGAGTTCGGACATTTCAGGTGTATATTCTTAAATAATGTTCCTTATAACATTTGTCTGTGTCGTGAACAGTAAACGATTTTCTTATCCAAGGCTGTCTCTTCGAAGCTGAGTGATTGCGGCAGAGCCGCATGAACATGCAAAGAAATACACTTATGCAGATATGCGTCCAGCTAATGAATAAAGAGAGATTTTTCATATAAATAGACCACGAATTTATATGAAAGATCACTTATCGCCAGCACACCGAATTCGATAGATATCTACACTATCGTTAAGGAAATTTTGTCGCCAATAGTATTAATAGTATTTCGATACCACACACTATATAAATTATAGACAAGTAGTTTATACGCCATTGACTAGAATCCTTTGTATTTTTATAGTATATAACGCCTCCTGCATTTTGATGGAATAGGTTAGAACCTATTGTATTTCCGTAGAATAAAACGCCAACAGCATTTTGATGCCAAAGGCAACAATCTATATTAAACCCTTAAATTATAACACCGTAGGCTACAATTCTTTTATCTATAAGCCCATATTACCTAGCATTACAAATTTTATAATAAAGATAATCTTTTTAACGCATATCCGACCAATTATTTTTTAAAAAATTTTTGGTAAAAATTTAATATATTGGAGATATAAGGGTCAAAAATCATGGATCTGTAGTCAAAAATTTTTTACAATTTTTAGTTTTAGAGAAAGGTGGTTTTCGATTAATCAAACAGTGGGTGCTTAACCGCAATTTTTTCATTTTCGCTTTTTTACATAATGCGTTAACAGAAAACAACTGTTATTTATATGCGTTCTTTATTTTTAAATTAAAGAATCAATAAAAAAAGAATAAAAGACTATTATTTAACTATTCCATTTTATCAGTGGTATATTACACCTTAGCAAAGCTTGCATCGTCTCTTTTTATTGCCGACGAACAAATTAATCCAATTTCCATGCATTGACGATGGCTCAATCAAACACAGCTAGCCATAACAGCCGTACCAGTTTTTGGATCCGATTGCAATATGGTAATTTTGAACGGCATTGACAAGTAGATCAACTTCTCCCATTCCTCTATTGCACTTTTAAATCAACTGTGGTTGGGAGTAAAATTTTCCTCATCTGTTTTTTCGTCAATTTTGTCTGGTAGTATGAGCATGATAGCAATTATTTCTTGCTCATCATCACTCCAATCTTCTAGTAAGGCTTCCAACTCAGCTCTTGTTTGAATACAACGAAGATAATGTCTCGATACTATTTCTTCTATTTTAACTAATATTTAAAAAAAATCCATGTAAATCCAGGTAAAATTTGCTGAGCAGATTTGAGTTAAATTGAAATAAACAGTGTTTATTCTTTACTCCTTAGCTTTTTACTAGCTCTCGAACTACTCAAGTCAACAACGAAATTTATTGCAATGACTCGAACCACATCTGAATATTCCTCAACAAAACAAACGACGAATATGTGTCGTTATGAAACAAAGTCGAAAATACAATAACAGCAATATTTGCTAACGATACTTATATATTTTTTTTCCAAAGATCAGACAATAACAAAACATCATAATTAACAAGCAAAACGTACTTTCGAACAACTATATAAAATACTTAGGGATATGTTCATTGTATTCACTTACGGAGGCGTGATCTAAGCTAAATAATATTTTAATAAAATCCATGCGAATTTATGACATTCAAACAGGGAACCGCAATGTGATCAAATGATAAAAATATGCAAAAAGTACAAACGATGATCTTGAGGATAGTAACAGTTTCACCATTGTTTATAAGTCATCGCAGAGATTGGAACATATTATCGATGATGAAAGATGTTGCTTAATGTAGACGGTAATAACATAACACCCAAAATAGAAAAACTGAATTTACTGTTAATACAAATCTAAATTAAATTATTGGTATTAAATTTAATTTTTCAATAATATTTGAAGTTTTCCAAAGCATTGTCTTGTTCAAAAATACACATCAGTTTTAACCGATTCTCCACAAGAAAAACTTATTCCTGACCACCAATTCGGAAAAAATATTCGACTATACAACGAGTTCACAGAGTTGTAAATAAAATAACAAGTGTAATCGACACAAAAACAATTTTCCTCGGTGGTATATCTAGACGTCCCAAAGGTTTTCGCAAAGGCATGGGGCTCTTCTAACCAAATTATCCGAACTACTTCCAAGAAACTTTTATCAACAAAGATACTTTTATGTAAAGTATAAAGACTCAATCTCCGAACTTAAACAAATGAAAGCTGGTGTGTCTCAAGGAAGCGTACTAATTCCATTAATTTACTTGCTATAAAGGGCTGATATTCAAAAACCTTCTGATCCTTAAAATTTGATAGCAACTTTTGCAGACGATACAGGACTAATAGTAGCTATTAAAAATTTTAACAAATCCACAGACAACTTACAGAATTAATTAAACGCAACTCTGGAATGGTTCGACAAATGGGGAGTTCAAATAAATACAAGCAAAACAGTACATGTCATCTACACGAAAAAAAAATATGACTTAAAACGTGTAAAAATTATCAATGATGAAGTCTTCACACACACAAAGGCAAATTACCTTGGTATTGCTATAGATAGCAGATTAATCAAAGCTAAAAGTGATGAAATTAAGCGTCGCTTTGGACAAATGTACTGGCTACTCTGCTCAACAGTGGATAATTAACTTCTAGTATATAAAACGCGAATCGCTCCAATTTGGATATAAAGAGCCGAAATATGAGGCACAGCATGCAAATCCAACATTCACTTACTGCAAAGACATCAACCAAAAATACTTAGGACTGTCATTGACGCTGACTGGTACATCTCAAACTATGACATTCATCATAACTTTAAGATACCCTTCGTGGTAGTCGTTATCCGAAAAACCAAATCACACAGATAGATTGCTTTCCCATCCTAACCCAACAAAGGGACAGCTATCAAATGACGAAGCCACATATAATAAACGATTGAAAGGCTTATATCCATCAGAAATATCAATGTAATAATCCATAATCTAATATGTTCACAGTACAATCCTTATCTATTGATTGATTAATAGATTAATAGATGCCAAATCTTGGCAGTTGTATAAATAAAGGGGATTAAAAAGCATAAAAAAGTTTTTAAAATTTGAAGCGCTAAAAACAAAAACGATTTAGAAAAAAATTATTATAACTACTATGTTAATGTAAATTAATTATCTAAAAACGTAATTAACTTTCTATAATTAAGCATAAATGGTATTTTGAGTTTTGCAAAATATTATTAGCTATTTATACTCACTTGGACATTAAAAGTCGGGATTCACATAATTCAAATAATTTCTCTGGACATTCATCTAATATGTTAGCATAAACAGTGTCTAGAATTTCAGCAGATACCCGGAAAAGTTCCTCAAAGTGATCAATCATTATTCTGGAAAACATAAATTTGATGCAATTAACTAAACATTTTAAAGATCCAGTTTCCTACCTTACTACATTGATAGCATCTGCCATTACTTCTTGTTCTGTTACGTTCGCTGTCAAAGACGTAGATTTTAATATATTAGGAGCAAACACAGTGGCTAAATTATTGCTATCCATTTTATTCCCAGAAACAAGCACATTACCCTCTTTGTCAAGAACGTCATCTGAATATGTAGCAACCTTCGCCAAAAATTTAAGCAGTACATATAATGTGTCCCTATGTGTTTCTGGTAACAGTTTAATTAAATGGGATATAGCCTCTAACTGTAGGCGTCGATTTCTTATTTCTATTTCAATACAGACAAAAAATATATAAATTATAAATAAAAAATTATTTTGTCAGTTTATTACTCAGTGATGTAAACAATTTATTTAAGAAGGCAAAATATCTTATTTTTCAAAACGAATACTTTATATTCCAAAAAAATGTTTTCTTTTATAACATGTTTATTACCCGCCGTTACTCGGTATTGACTCGGTTACTTGGTAAGTTATATTCACTCACTTCAGAAGTATCTTATCAAGTAAATTACTCCTTGTGTGCCATAAGTGGACGCTACAGATACTCTCCACAAATACATATTAGTGCAGTATTCACGATGAATATGTCGCTATTGTATCTGCAATGGTTATACTATCAATTGCCGACAGCAACTCACTGATTGGGCTGAAAGAAGGGGCTACTAATTGCGTCTAAGAATGACTAAGTATTTAAGTACTAAGTATAGTACTTAAGTATGGGCAAAAATTATTGAAATCTGTTTATATTTAGCAATATTCAGATGGGAGGACTCAATGTATGAGGGTATGAGGGTAAATTTGTTGACGTATCACGAACCGCACGCCAACGCTCAAAATTGTCAGTCTCAGTAGTAAGGCGCGCGAAATGGCAAGCATGACACGAAAAAATTATTACCAGTAATCGCTTTTTCTGATCAACAAGATCGAGAACTACAAAAAAGAAGGCAAGGTTCATGAACGAGACGAAGTCGACGATGTGGAATACCGCACTATTGTAAAGGAGTATTTTTATGAAGAGAATGTTCGCCAATCTGCTATTACTGGCAAGCTGTTACCGAGTCGAAAATGGCGGTAAGCGTAACAGATCTCAAGAGGAACCCGTTATTGCAGCGAAACGGCGTAAGGATGGAACGGAGAATGCGAAACCAATGTCAAGACCGACATAAGATGTTCCTTCAGTGAAGTGGCAAGGAATCATCTAAGTTTGACTTTATCGACGAACGCAACTCTAGCGACAAGATGCTGATGGAAAGGTGGGCGCTGACTGAAATCAAACTGTTCGAATTGGTTATGGCCAACCTCATGATAAATCCAGGGTTCGATCACTAAGATTAGTGAGTACTGGGACGGTTTAAACCTTTAGCTTGTTTCTGTTGCTGAAATTTCATTGAGACTTCGAGTGCGCGTTTGATAACCGGAATATCTTAGACCTCAAGATCTTACTTTGCAGCAACTTAAGAATAACCGCAAAAGCACTTCTTTTAATCAACGATATTGCTTCTTCTCATCAACGAAGAATGCTTGCCAGTGATTGAAGCTAATGGCTGCAAGCTCCGATACTGCATCCGGAATACTAAATTTAAGATTTTAGTATATATAACATTTTAGATAAGATAGAAGATACTAACAAGTTTATTGATGATGACAAACTCTGTTGATGTTCTAGTGGCCAAGATCCTGCAGATAAACCTTAAACACTTCAAATGTTCCAGGAGTAATCTGGTTGTCTTATTCGCAAGACCATCAGGTTAGATCGGCAGCAAATGGTTACAACACCATAATATTCGCCTACATGCCACATGATGATGAGACGCCTCCACAGAGGGTAGAACTGGTTCATAATTTCGCATAGGTCGAGCAGCTAACTTTGCTGTTGGGGTGTAATGCAAACACCCAGCACTTCTTGTGACTAACTTCGGAAATCAAAGATTGAGGTGAGTCTGTTTTTGATTATATACTAAGATGTTATCTTAAAATTTGTAATAAGGGTAACACGCCCACCTTTGATTTTCCTAGTGCGTATGATTTTGTAGATCGGGAAGAAGTTTTAAATATTACAACTTACTCGACTTCCCGTTCTCTAGTGATCAATGACTGGAGTCTATTAGGTAAAGTCCTTTATTATTGATTTTAACAATGAACAGACTGCTTTTAATCAGGTTGGAATCAAAGCTGTGGCGTATGCGGACGATATTGTCTTTTTAACACCAGATATAGTTCTGAGTAACATCATGGAGTGCGCTCTTGATAATCTTAGTAGATGGGCCTCAATGTGTGACCTAGGAGAAAAGACTTCTAAGACACAACTTTTCCTGTTTACCAACAAAAATAAAATTCCAAACTTTCTATTGCCAAGGCTAAACGACCAAAGACTAACTCTTTCGCACAAGGTTAATTACTTAAAAGTAATTCTTGACACAACGCTTAATTGAAGGACCAACATCGATGATAGAATTCGCGAAGCAAATAAGAGCTGTGAATTGCAGCCTAAAGTAAATCTTTGGCTATATACAGCCAATTAGTTGGACAACCAATTTTAGTCTTCGAATGACTAATATAGTGGCCCTCGCTGGATAAACAATATATTGTTTAAAGGTTCACCAGACTACAAAGATCTTGGTATTGAAATCATGCCTCACTAGTGCGCTCAATTTCATACTTCACTTGATTCATTGATGTTTATATCAAACCAGTAACTACTCTCATACACAGGCTTAAAGATTTAAACTGTTGGTATTCGATTTCATCTGGATATGGTAACATTCCATCAATCCACCCGACGGATAGGAGTAGTAAACCGGACTACTTATGTCCTCGCTTATACTTCGACTATAACTTTGCCACTAGATCTTCCTCAAGAGGATAATTGGAGGTAGGGCTGCTTACAACAGTGGGAAAGATAGCGATATATAACGACTGGTCTAATCTGTCACTGGTAAATAGGGAGTGGGCTTACAATTTAGATCAAGAGTGACATGGCAATATATTTCAAATGTGGAACTTCTGACTTGATACAAAAAATCAAATCAGAGGTATCTAGATTAATATCAGTATTTAAAGGGCACTGGACCAGAGGACGAAATGAAACTCAACCTACCCTGTAGTATGTCCTGTAATGCGTGTCTACCGACTATCGAATAAAGGACACCAGAAAATCTGTGTCTATGTCCGATCTATCCATAAACAGGCTTAAGTTTTTGGGCACGTTTCTTTTACACACTCAGTGATATCTCCAGCATTAGCATAGCAGATTATTACGAGGAATTTTGATATTCAAAACAGCTTTCTTAGCTAATTGAGAAGGATTCATTTCTCTCTCCACTTCAACTAACTAACTAACAGTTTTGTCTAAAGTTTAAGAGAGATGCTTGAATGAGGGATATTTATTGATAATTTTTTTGTATTTTACTTCCCTACCCTAGAGACAGACAAGTTTTGCACTCTATTATGTTTTGAAAAAAAACTGTTTTTCAAGTCACTCTATTCGTATATACGATGGCGGTTTGATAAATCAGTGATTTTTTGAATAAAACCCTTTTTTTTCGAAAATAAACATTTTATTTTTCTACATAATCACCTTTTAGCTCGATACATTTAGTCCAGCATTTTTCTAATTTTCTTATTCCCTCCAAATAATAAGTTTTTTCAAAGCTCTCAAAACACGTGTTTGTTTCGGTAATGACTTCTTCATTCGACTCAAATCTCTTACCGCCCAGCCAGTTCTTTAGGTTTGGAAACAGCAAATAGTCGCAGGGGGCTAAATCTGAAGAATATGCTGGATGGGGTAGCAGTTCGTACCCCAATTCGTAGATTTTGGCCATTGTGACTTGACAAGTGTGCACCCGTGCATTGTCTTGATGGAATAGTACTTTCTTCTTCACCAAATGTGACTGTTTTTGCTTCAAATCAACGTCGAATCTATTCAAAAGCTTTCTTGAGGTAATCGATGTGAATGACACCGCTTGCATCCCAAAAAACTGTGGCCATGACCTTGTTGGCTGACAGACTCTGTTTGGCCTTCTTTGGTCCACGTTCACCCCTAGCAACCCACTGTTTCGATTGTTCCTTGATCTCTGGCGTGTTGTGATGGATCCATGTTTCATCCACAATAATGAAACGGAGCGAAAATTCGTCCGGATTACGGCTGAACATCGCTAAACATTCTTTTGAAGTGGTCATACGATAGCGCTTATGGTCGAGTGTGAGCAATCGCGGCACCCATCTCGCGGAGAGGTTTTTCATGTCCAAATATTCGTATACAATATTATGTACCCGTTCAGTTGAGATAGCTACAGCATGAGCCAATTCACGCACTTTCATTCTCCGATCATCCAATATCATTTCATAAATTTAATCGATGATTTCCGGCGTGATCACTTCTTTTGGGCGACCTGGACATTCGGCGTCACTAGTGCTGGTACGACCACAACGGAACTCTGTAAATCACTTCTTAACCATTGAAATTGACGGTGCCCAGTCCCCGTAGTATTTATCAAGTCTTTCCTTAGTTACAGTGATGGATTCTTTACGTAAAAAGTAATGCTTAATCAGCACACGAAATTCACTTTTTTCCATTTTCGTAAAAATGCACAAGATTGTCAGGTTGAACGACGTAGCTTGCTCAAAATTAGAAAGTTGCCCACTGATAGATTACAGCTGACGGCAGCACTGTTGCATTTGAAGTAACTGCGCGGAAAATTCAAAAAGTCACTGACTTATCAAACCGTCCTCGTATGTCATATATCGTACAAAGCAATAGAATCCCCAAGAAATATTTGTGATGCAAGACTTAGATGAGAACATTTTACCCAAACTGTTTTTTTGCTGTGATATTTCAGCGTATGAATTTATGACAGTGATTTATGATAATAGTTTCAACGATGGTAATGTAATTTTACGCTTAAAGCTACAAATTAAATATTGCAGTTTGTTTTACATATTGTAACGTAGCTTTTTAGCCGGGGTATCATTTGTCGAGCCAGGTCAGTCTTACAATAAATGACAGTAATAAGCTATTTGCAGAGTTTATTAATAATAAATATTATATTTTAAGAAATTTGGTTTCTTTATTCATTTCTGCTCAAACAAAAAATTTTGTTTTGGATTTGGTTGGTTGTTAACTACTTTTTGTTATATTGGTACACCCTTTCTTGATATATGGTACAAATTTGAACGCCATCTGTCAATTAGTTTGTTTACAGCAGCTGAGACTACCTCAAGTGCATTTAGCGATTTTTACTATGGAAAATTCTTGTTGTACGCGATTTTTTGACCAAACACGGCACCACTGACATCGCTCAGGCACCATATTCACCAGATCTGGATCCGTGCAATTTTTTTCTGTTCCCGAAACTCAAATTGCCCCTTCGTAGTAAGCGTTTTGAGTCGATTGAATCGGTAAAAGAGAATTCGCTGAAGGAACTAAAAGCCATACCTGCACGGGCCTACGAAAAGTGTGTGGAAGATTGGATTAAGCGTTAGCATATGTGTATCACTTCAGAAGGAGCATATTTTGAAGAAGATAAAATAAATTTGGAATAAAATTTAAATTTGTGTGTTTTATTTACAAAATCCGAGTACTTTTTGATTTAGAGGTAAGACGCCCTCTTTAAGTCTTATATTAACTTTGTAAAAATAAAATATATATATAAGATTCGAGATGTGTGAAGAAACAGTACCAAAGGCATGCTAGGTTACTGGCATTCTCTTCTCTTATTCTCTCGCTGGCACATATCTTATTAGGCCATCTTTGCTTTTGTAGAATCGACAAAGGAAATTGTGACTTGAAAAGTATAACTCCTGCTTCTCCGCTGTGAGTCACACTACGTAACAAGTATTATAACTCTTTCTACTTTAATTAATTAAGGAGGCATATAAAACAAGTAGTATTAATTTTGTGTCTTTGATAGAGAAAAAAATAAATATATAAGAAAGAAAAATATGGCTATCACATTTTAGTAGTATATTAGTATTATTTCTGTTTCTTTGATACAGAAAGAAAGAAATATATAAGAAAGAAAAATGTGGTTATCAAATTTTCTTGAGAATGAAGAAGGTTCCAGCAACTTTCCGGAAACTTTCCATGCAACTGACAAATATTTTATTCTGAAATTTAAATAGTTAATAACATTTATAGGTAGTTCTTTCAGAATTTTAGTAGAGATTTGGGCGTGAATTTTTTGCATTAATATTATGTTTCTGTATTTAGTTTAATTTAATTGGTTGTTATATTTCTTATTCACATATTCTTATATCTGATCTAAAATTGGTAAAATTATGTTTTTTAGATTTTTATCTAGCAGTATCTTATGAAGTGTCTTTACAACTTAAGACTGAAACGATAAACGATCTGTTTCCAATAAAGGTTCATTGAAAATTTTAAAAAATATTCCAATCAATAGTTTGTAAACAAAAAGTCAAACAAAATTAAAAAGTTTCACAAATATGTAAATTGTGATTTAGTGAAAAAGTAATATTTTAAAAATATACAAAAACTTTTTAAAATACATGAAGATAGTATAACTAAGAAACAATTTCAATTATTTAACTTAGCTGCTAACAAGTTTATACCTAGCTTCGAAATACTGTTACCATAAGCTTTATTATGAGGATGATTAGTAAAAAAAATTTCATAATTCGAAATTTTTATAAAATTTAATTGACAATAAATGAAGAAGTCTAAATGATCCAAACAGCCCTTAGTAGAAGAGAGTCGACTGGAATGATCATTTTTGATATTTCTGAAGCTTTTGACAATGTCTGGCATGATCTCTCGTCAGTCCGATATATAGAAGCAGGGGTTCTACAACATTTATACATCTGATATCCCAATGTCAGGTCCCTCGACTCTGGCGTTATATGCTGACGATACGCGTATGCTGTATGCTGTATGCAGATAAATGTGCTCTCAACATAATCAACATACTTTAAGAGCATATAAACCTCTAAGGCTCAGTTGAAAACTAAGGTTCTGTTTATTAAGCGTAAGTGGAGACAGAATCCGTCGAGGGTAAGAGTGGGAGATATGGTAATAAACTGGGAGGAAAGCCTTTAATATAATGGCATCACGCTGCACAAACTATTCACATGGCTTAAACATGTTCAACTAAAAAGAATTAGCTGTGCCAAAATTCTTTATCACCTCCAACCGCTATTCAGAAATGAAAATCTCAATGCTAAGAACAGGAAGCTGATATATAACCAAATAATTCGTCTGTCACTTCTACATGGATGTGTAGCGTTTAGCAAAGCTTCAAACACTACTATTCGCCAAGTAGAAATTGCATAAAGCCAGGCTCTAAGAAGACTTTTCATCTCACGCAGGTTTTCAAATGAAGGCCAAAGTATTACCTGTTAAGAACTTCCTAATATCAGACAGAACAAGAAACACTACAAAAACGATAATTTTGTAGTATGTAAATGGACCATTTGCGTATTCAAAATGAAAATGAGAATAAACTTGAAACAATTGGGTCTGTGAGAGATATGCAAGGACTTCAAAGTCATTACGACACATTGTGGCGTATTTTGCCTATGGATTTGCATTCCCATCCTCATGAATGGAAAGCTTACATGTAGCTTAGATTAATTGGCTGTTGGAATAATACCGCTTTTTTTATTCAAAATTATTTAGTGAAAATAATTATTTTTCACTTGGTAGATATGTCAACAAAAAAATTGCCAGATTTAGGGCATTGAAAATTCAAAAAGAACTGTTAAAAGTTGATTGCATACTCAATAATATCATTGTATTTGGTCAGGGTGCGGTACAATCTAATATTTCTGATCGCTACCGCAACATATTTACTAAATATTTATGTAAAATTCAATATGTGAATGTACTTGATATATGGCTCCGCTTTGTTGTCGGAGAAATTATTTAATGTGTTTGGTCACCAAGCTTTAGCCATTTAACACCACAATACCATTAACACCACAGAATCTTTAAAAAGTTGACACTTTGACAACCAATATCCATCAATTTATGAATGATCTATTACTAGCAATGTGCCTATAAGTCGTTGAAAGTTATCTCTAAAGAATCCACGATTGTGAAATGTTGAGATCATTTTTGTGGTGTTTCATATTACACCATATTTGTAGCTATTAACGATATATTGAAATAAAAAATAGATCAGAATTTCAATCAAGTATGTTTTATTTACGTGTACTTTTGAAGAAACTTGTACTGTATTTGATAAAAGTAGTTTTAGGATAAAAAAAGTTTTTCTCATTTTTTACTTATTAGAAAATATTTAGTAAATTAATTTGAAAGTTATAAAGAAACAACAATAAATCGGTCGACTTACTTTGTGTTTTTAGAAACGCTTTATACAAATGTCCACATAAAAGAGGTTCGGATAAATCTCGCAAAAATTCCTTTAGTAACGTCGCAACATCATGGGGGCATGTTGTTTCTGAAATTTCAGTCACAAACCTTTTATCAAATTCTTCCTTCATCTATATATGAAAACATAGAAGAGTTAATTTTTTCTCATTTGAAATATGTAGTCGGTTTGCTCCTACTTGCATAACGCGTTTTTTTGATGTACTGACTCGAAAAAGTCCTACTTGATGTAAACCATGTATTTCCAAAAATTGAATACATAAGGTGATAAAAGTTGGGACCTGTAAATCGTGCGTCACAAAAAACTCCGTTGACGATGATAAACTATGGTTTTTATCGAACTCCTGACTTTTTCTGCGCATATCACTTTGACTACGTGATAAAGCCGATTTCGTCAAATAACCAAAGTAGTTCGTTCCAATTTTTGAACCAGATTTTAAACCTTTGCAGTTTTCACCTGATGTATTAGTTACCGATAATGTGCTTGAAGGCAAATTTTCACATGACCGCACCTTTAAAAAGTAAAGTATATTCATAAGTATAACTGCTAATATATATTATTTATTTAAAAAATATGTAATTTTTCCCATCTAATTGCTTTTCTGTAGTAGAAAAAGTTTTGTTAAATATGATATTAATTATAAACTGATAAAAATATAACATATACAACTTAAGCTATCTAATTTAAAGCCCATACATTTGGATTAAGTTTATTGGAGTTATCATCACCACCACATCGACTTAGAGTAGCAGATTCTCCTTCTAATGCTATACAGAAGTTTTTTGAACGTTTTCTGTCATTTGCAACACAAGTGTTTAGATTATTACCAAATATTCCCGTTTGCAGTACTAGATTAATAATATAATTAAATTGAATTTGGAAGAAAGAATGTAACAAAATATCTTACACGAATCTTCCTTTTTACCGATATCAAACAAATTTGTTGTCAAGGCCTTTTTCTTTTGTAATGCATGACGTTTTTGAATTTTTCCTCCATTGCCATTGTAACTACCAGGACCTATATCTAAACCAATATTTAGTTCGTTTATTTTCTGAAGGGCCACTTGCTGCAAGTATTTTGATTCTATTGCAGAGAGGTTTCGCAGAACTGAATCTAAGATACAAATTCGATCACCATTTTCAGAAGTCCAAGCGAATTTTTCCTATTAATGAGAAAATTGAAAATTATATTCATATTTCAGTTACTATAACATATTTGTTTTTAAAAAGATTACCGAAGGTGCCCATTTATGATTGTATGTTGTTGGTAAATGCACAGCTGATCTTGTTTGACTTCTCGACCGACTTTTGAGTAACTTCTTTGATACAAATTGTCCAACATTTGTTGAAGATTTTGATTTTTGCATTATGCCTTCACAGTTGCTGGCATCAACACCTAATGCATTGAATTAAAATAGGTTATATATTAATCCAACTATGAAACTTAAAAAATCGAATCGAAGATTATTATGAATTCAAACATAATATTCGTAGCGGCCCGTTTCTTCACAAATCCCTATCGACAGCATTTCAAAAACACGGCCATTGGACCGTGTACATTTTAGCGGATTTGGTCAATATATGATATTATATTATTGATATTGAATGCCGTTGTCAGATATTTGAAGTACACATATGTATATGGATAGTAAACCGGTTATATATACATTATATTTTTTTTTATGTTTTGAGTTTAGAGTTATTTATTTATTCCAGAAAACGCGCGTATTAGAATTACAACTTTTAATGTATAAGTTTTAATTGGCGAACATTTTTTAAGATATTTTAGTTGTGAAATATTCTTTTTAATAAAGCTATTCAGTTGGAGAACACAACTATATGCCATGTCATACATTATGTTATTAGCAACACCAAAATACACAATTGATTCTTATTTATGAAATCATTTAGTAACTCTTATACATTTAAATAAATGATTTCAAGAAAATGTTTATCCACTAAAGACAATTACCTTAACTTAGTTCTTCAACATAATTAACTAATACTACATAACAATGAAAATGTACCAGATTCAGAAGAAATTTAAACTCATTGATACTGTGCATTTATATACACATTTTCGTATAATATCCAGTAAAATTTTTATTTATACGTCTCCAACTTTTTTCTCTGTATATGAGTTTGTCAATTATTGTTGTTCAAGCAATACCTATCGGTTATCAACATCTCTTGTCTTTGAAATCAAAGATTTTTGATACAAGAAAATAAGAAAAACTTTATCGTATTAAATATTTATGTATCCACTGCAAGATTATAAAAAACAAAAAATTGTTCTCTCTCTTCAGTATCCAGAGATTGTCTATGGTATATTTTGCGCATGTCTTTTTCACCGATAAAAATTTCAAAAATGTGATCTCACAAAACTGTAGCATTTGATTATTCATCCGCTTATTTATTTCGAGCAGACGCAAAATGACTCGAATCTGACTTTTTCATTCAGTCAAAAACAATCAAATACGGACATTTTCGGGACTCGAATCAAACTCAATGCAGAAGGCGAATTCGCAAAGAAGAACATATACAGCCATATAATCCTGTGCAACTATTCTTGGGTATAAAGATTCCAAAAAATTATTTTATTGATTGCGAATGCAATCTTTAAACAATCAAACAATCAAACAATCAAACAATCATTGTACATATAAATTTGAAAAAAAAATCCCAACGAAAGTGCTTTGCATGTTTTTACCAATTTTTGTGAAACAATCTTTTAAGCAATCTGTGATAAAGAAACTCTTTATTTTATTATTTTAAAAGGAATCCATTCGTCTAGTTACCCGAATTTTCTTTTTGAATAGTTTGTTTTATTATAAAGAAGTAGTAAATTAGAATTTCACCAAAGATAAGTGACCGAACATGATTTAAAGAATATTCAGATTTGTCATTTGCATTTCTAGCTAAACATCCATGAAAAAACACAAATCCGATGAGAGGAACTGAGAGACCATAACTAAAGAGTACGAGTATAAACACAGTATTTGCACTTAAGATGAATATAGATACACAAACAACACATTTGTGAATGTACCAACATTTGAAATTATTTAGAATAGTTTGTTCATAATATTAAAAGTAATAGCAAAATAGGCGTGCATCATTCTAGAACAACTCTAGTCAAATTTTATTTCTCTCGGAACCTGAAGTGAGAACTTTGCTTACATTTACCCAATCTTTATATATCCGAAATCTGTTAGAAAGCAATGGACATAACTTGCAAATTTGATTTGCAGTTACTTCCCGAAGGAATGAAATTAATATCTGGATATGTATTTCTAGCTTTAATTGCTTAGGATTTTGTGATTGCCGATTTGGGAACATTGTTTTTGAATTGGCGTTAGCAATTTTTTTTTTGAATAAGTTTCTATGAACGACATTAATACTTCCGATGAATAAAGAATAATTACAATATTTGAATTAAAAATCAATGATTTTGGTTATTGTTGCCAATTTATTATATCCCGATCTGATACCGATTGAACACATTCATCAAGAATCTATTTCAGCATACTGTAGCCAATATCATTCAAATATGTATACTGAACATCTGCGTCACTATAAGCACATAGTTGTGCCAGAATATTTTATTACGAGTACTACTGTACTCATTTTAAAATTTTCAAAGTAATTTAAGTGTGTTTGAAAGTTTAATATTTTGAATGGATCAACCAAATCTATAACACACTCGGTGCTAGTGTGAAAATCTACAAATATATTTGGAGATTAATCTTAGGTTCAACTCAGTTCATATTACTACACTAAATTAGCTTTAAGTACTTTGGTTAAAGGTTAGGTAAATACTTATTAACATTAACTTACTTTGCAATAGTCTTGTGGCTGGATCTATATGCGCTTCCTTTATGTTGGAATTAACTTTGTTGTATTGTGATGTTTCGTCATATTGTTTTTGATGATCTAAACCATGCATAGTTGTTCCGTGCCATAGATTGGAAAGAAAATTAGAACCACTCTGTATGATGTTAGAAGCTGTGTGCCCAAATTCTGAGCGTGGCTTATCATTTGTGGGTGAAAAACTCGATGTTGGTGATGTACTCGAGGTTGGGGAAGCAAGTCCACTTGATGAACTCCGACTCGTTGAAAACGACTGCTTATGAACACCGTCCTTTTCATTATTATATGAATTTGAGCAGTTTGCATCAACAGTGTTTTCTGAATTACCTAAAATTTTTTGATCATATTCATTTTTTTTGCGAATCCTCTCTTCTAAAGATTTTTGCCAGTCAGAATGCGCAACATCTAATAAACTTGAATTTTCATTGCCTCTTATGAATTCTAAAGCTATTAATGCCCAAGCATCAAGTGTTTGCACTGCTTTACTATTGTCTTCGTCCATTCCTGGCGGATTAATTTCTCCTTTGGCTTTTATATTTCGTAGGTTGCGATCATAATTAACACGTTTAAATCGGTTGACCTGATCATCGTGAATACTTTTTTTCCGAGCCATCCGAAGATAACGCTTAATAGTGTCGCTAACTGATTGTGAAATGTCTTCGTTATCTACAGAGCTTTTTCGACGAATATTTATTCCCTCTGATTCAGTTTTTTCAGATCCATCATCGAGGCATGTATTAGACAAGAGTAATGATGCTTCCTCACGCTTACGTGCCTTATACTCCTCCGCAAGGCATTTGATTTCTTGCAATTGTATGAAATTAGTTTGGGTGCCGAATGTATTGAAGTGTGTCTTTTTTCTGAAGTTTTGAGAAGTCCCTGAAGGTGTTTGAGCTTGTGAGGTAAAAGTCGAATCGGAAGTTTTTGGTTGTATCAGAATTGGCTCATTACTTTTTCTATCATCTGAGGGATTTTTCAATATTCTGCTTAATGCAAAACTTTTATTTGTAGTTTTTGAAAACTCATTGTTATATTTTATATTATTCACATTTTGTGTGGATGATTCCGTCTTGTGTGGTTTGCTAGAATTATTTGTTAAACATTCGTTAAACTGTTGTAGACTAGATAAGGACGTCGACTTCTTAATTTTAGCTTTGAATTCATTTATATTTTCTGTATTGGAATGTTTGCTCAATAGTCGGTGAAGATGTTGTTTTTTAAGCATATAATATACTTGTTTTAATGCAGCTTTGTTCTTTAATATATCTGGTGTAATACTTTCATTTGATAAGTTTATTGTGTATGTAGAACTATGTGTTAGAGCTCGTAATCGTGCCAATAACTGATCATTCTCAACAAGTTGATTGGAGTCCTTAGATGTTTCCGATACCAAGTTACTACTTAAACAGCTGTTCCCAGCAGAAGGCCTGTGAGCACTGGGTGAGTGTGTTTTATCAGGGCGTACCGTTTTAGTGCCGAGTAATGTTGTCGTTTTATATGATTCGTGCAAGTTAAGGTGAGTTTGTAATAAATTAATGACTTCATTTACATTATTTTCCTCTTCCCGTTCTTTTAGTAATGTGTTTTGTTTTTGACAAGTATGCTGCAGTAGTTGTCTAAATCGACGCTTCGAATTACGAAAGGCACCTGGATATGATGCTTTACGTTTCCAAAGTATGAAACGAGGTTCTGCAGCACATATTTGATTAAAATATGCTTCTACTTTTGGTATATCATCTTTTCGATTTTGTGCACCCTCAGGTATTAGTTTTCTACCAGCATCTGTCATGTATTTCCATGTTTTACGTGTAAGCAGCCACCTTTCACGTTTTTTTTCTTTTTCTTTTGTAGCTGATCGTCTTCGTGCTGTAGCTGGATTCGAAGTCGTTGTTACCTTTACAGAATCTTTAGGTAATGTTGATGATGTTGATACTGTTGGAACGACAGAAGACTTATTTATTTCGTCTAAGGCTTGGTCTAGAGGGGCAGATCGTTTCTTTATAATTTTTAGTGGTCTTAATGTTGTGCTTTTATGAACATCGTCAACATCGTTTTTCGATGACATTTTAGGTCATTTATACTTCAGCAAAAAACTTTAATAAAAACTATAAAACAGTCAAATACTACATCAGTATTGTATGAGTCATATTACATTATATGCTATTTTATATATTACTTTCTGTATAAATATATACATATTTATATATATATATAATATACATAAATACATATATACAGAAATAAATGGATGATTACATATATATTATACACATATATATATATATAGATATATATATATATATATATATATATATATACATGCAGAAATCACAGAGAACACACAAATTTGTCACTTAGATTGTGTGAATATTATTAATAATATTAATTTTATTGTTTAATTTAAATTTTATTTTTGCTTTATTACATGAATACATCACTACGAAACTAATTTCTGTAAACTCATAACTACTTTTGATGAATTGTATATTGAATAAACTTAATTTACACTTGTTTTTACTCTAATAAAATTATAATTTACACGTTTTCTTAATGTAAAGTACCAAACTCCTGAAAATAAACAATGAAATAAGTGGACGAAAATACAATGGACCACCGGTTAATGTATACTACATAAACAGCATTTATGAAAAGTACAGAAAAAAATATAGAAGAAAATTCTTTAAAAATTGAAATATCAAAAATACTATCTCAGTTTTATAAATATGTGTATGTGTGAACTTTTTATGTGCGTAAATAAAATGTTTGTATCTATTTAAATATTTTGCTATAAATGCTTTCAACTTTCTTCTAGATTCCTCTAATACAACAGACGAATTATAGGAATAAAATATAGAAATTATGTAGATATTATTTTGTGTTTGTGAGCAGATATTTTTTACTTTTTAAATTTTAACAACAGTATTTTAAATAAATACATGCGTTAAAGTTATTGTAAATATAAAAATATGTATATGTTATATATACATTCAACTCGACTACTTAAGTATAAACATATTAAAGCTCATATGTAGTCGCTGCTAATGCTATTTTCTCAGCTGCAACACCGTCGAAAATATGGCAGCTAAAATCAAAAGATAAAATATTCTATTTATAATTTTCTGAAAAATTCTATTTGTTAAGCAAATAATTCTAAAGTAGTCGTAATAATAAGTGGTACCAAATAATGGCACTACACCTCAATACAATATCGAAAGTTTATATCATTTTTATCAGACTTTTAATTGCAATATTTCGGATTTTATTAGCTGCATCTCCCTTTGATGACTGTGGTAATATGATATATAATCACGTCACAGAAAAAGATCGAAATAAAATCCATTTTTACTTCGGTTGAAGATTTACATCAATCCCTAGTTACTAAGGTCAATAGTTTTATAATGTACGTCTGCCATCCCGAAATTGTTTTCGTAATTTTGTTAATGTGTTTTTTCAATAGAATTTAAAAATCTGCTCTTTTTCAATTAAAAGTAGTCCCAAGTCTGCGCGACGTCTTTATCTCTTTCATCCGGATGGTTATATGATCCCCTTGTTTTCAGTCATTCAACTGTAACATTATGTAATATACTTGACTAATTATTCTCATCTAATTTTTCTTCTTAAAACAAATACTGGATCAGCACGTAAGGATAAATAATCGTATCACTACACTGATGATCATGGTGTATATGCAGTGGGCTGACTTGAATTCATCATTTCGGATCTTACGCAACAATTCTTATCAATGCTATATAAATAGTGCATGGGAAAAATACTCTTCCTTAACCCATGCAATACTAACTGATGTCATTCACTAGATGGATGGGCATTAAACTCACATTTCATATACTAAAATGACACCACACATCAATTTCATTTCTCAGACATTCAGCAAAGTGTTCTCAAGCACTTTACATACAAGTAGAGATTAAAATTGCAATATTTTGACTATCTTGGATCATATATATTAAGTAACTTTAGTTGAATAACACTTTTAACTATTCTTATTTTCTGTATTATTTATGATTTAACGACTTCAGTAATCATTTAATTAATAAGAAATTAACGGACATGTTATCAAATCGCTCCGCGCAATTAAATTCTTATTACGAGGCTCACTATTTGTACTTTAAGTCTCATAATACAAAAATATTAATTTGTCGTTGAAAATTGCTTTATTGTTTCTCAAAGTATTCTACACTTTTGCATGCGTTCGAACCATTTGTCAAAGCATTTTTTCCAATCTTATTCAGACACCTCCAAAACGTAGTTTTTAATTGCAACAACGGCTTCTTCCGCCGACAAAAATCTTCCGATCGTTGTCTACGCAATTTATTCTTGGCGGTCGGAAACAAGAAGAAGTCATTGAGTGTCGAATTAGGATTGTACGGTGGATGATTCACCAATTCGAATGTTTTGGAATGTTCAAATACTCGTAGTCTGTTGTTAAATGAGATGTGTGAGCATTCGCATTATCTTGATGGAGAATGATCTGACGACGTTTTTTTGTTTTCCGTTTTTCACTAAAGACTTCTAGTAAACAAATGGTTGTATACAATTCAGAATTGACCGTTTTACCTATAAAGTACTCGTATAGTTGCCACATGACCAATTTTACCGAAAAAACAAGCGACTCTTTGTTTCAAAGTGCTTTGAACACGAACAATTTTTGTTGGATTTGGTTCATCTTGAAACACTCATAAGTTGAGTACTGAGGATGTTCCGACTCATATGCATATTTCCATCGTCACCTGTTACGATCTTATACTCATATACATCTTTTGAAACAATGCCTTGTACTTCTTGAGCATTTGTCCGCACCAATCGACATGAGCATCTTTTTGAGATTTTGTCAAATGTTTTATATGCAATATGCAATATTTTATATATGCTAATGGAACTAATGCCTGGGGTTGCCTCAATCTCACAGTATGTCGCATGACGATATTGCATTTTAGGTTTTTGCACACCATAAATATTTTCTGGCACAACAACTGATTTTGGACGACCTTCACTGACTGACGAATTTCGTCAGTGAGCGAACTGAGGCCGCGATTGAAATCATTCTATTAGCGATTCACAGTGGCAAGGGATAGAGGTTTATCGCCAAGTGTGAAAGTAATTGATCGATGCACTCTTATCTTGGCACCAGTAATCCACGTCGACAGTCGTAATAAATCAGTAATTGAAAGTAATTGATCGATGCACTCTTATCTTGGTACCAGTAATCCAAGTCGACAGTCGTAATAAATCATGGCATGAAAATTTTCTCGCGTTAATTCCATTTTTTCGCGAAGCCTCAATTTACAAATGACTGTAAGTACTAGTAGTACAAATAACGTTTTTTTTGATAAAAAGTCTAAGGTAAGTTATTTTTAATAAATTCAAACTTTTATATGGAAACGTCAGATGTCACCCGCCATCAATTTGTGTTCCCAAGACTTAAAATATAAATAGTGATCCTCGTATATACATAGAGGTGAGAGTAAGAGCCCAAAAAGCATCCAAAACAATTTTGTTGTCGACAACAACAAACTAATACAAACGTAACTTTCTATAACAAATTCCAAAGGATCATTTTCAATGAAGTATGTAAATGACCAATTGACGATAAAACTTGTAAGATCTTAGCAATATTAGTTAATTCTTCTTCGTTTTTATCGGAATCTGTTAAAATAAAAGTAATGTACATCTCACATTGTCTAGACAAAGTTTTTATTTTAGTTTTGTTTGTATGATCTAAGACTCCTTGGACTCTGACACGGTATCTCACACTATACGGGTTAAAATAAAAATAAATATAAAAACAAAAATTAAATAAAAAATAGAACATTTCAAATTCTCTTGTCCAGTTTCGAACATCATTTTAAGTAAATTTCATCTTTTATCCATGTTTTACATGCTCTGTTAAACTTATAATCCATTGCTTTATATATTTTCATTGAATCAAAAAGACACATTCATTCGCTCTTTGTTGTATTTTTCTCCAAAATACTATTTATTATTTATAATGCTAATGTTTTAACAAGAACTAGAGAAATAAGTTTCGTCAGTATTACAAATATCGTTATCATCACCCATTTATAACGACTTGGTTTGGTAATGTCAGGACTTTCACCACACAAGGTTGTTTTTTAACGATACTGTATAATTATATGATTTTTCCAACCATCTTTCACTCGTTTCATAATCTGGAAGTTTTTTTTAGATATAGTTGAAGATTACCATCACGTGAGAGTAGATTTCGATGTTTATTCGTCAAAATGCACTTCTTGTTATTTATGCTTGAAGCATTGTCTATTACCTAACAAACAAAGCTTTGATTTTTAAAATCATTGTTACGCGGCTAGGAGGAGTCCCCAATTGCATATCAATGCCTCTTTTCAAAAGAGGTATACCTTTCTACTTTTTCGCCGTGAAATACTTACTACATTTAGATATATAACAATATATGATTTGAATAAATTCATTAAACAGAGAAAAAAAAATATGATTATTATTAGTTGTAACCAAAGAATGGTGGAAACATTCCAGGTGTCAAAAAATTATTTTCTCTATTACTCTCGCTACCATCACTGAGCAAAGTACAATAACAGTTAAAACACAAAAAACATAAAAACATTCAAAACTCAAAATAGTGATACAACATATCACTATTGGGAGCCCTAGTGACCTATTGCAGTATAACTTAAAGATTGATATTAATAAGAACAGTTAAAACACAAAAAACATAAAAACATTCAAAACTCAAAATAGTGATACAACATATCACTATTGGGAGCCCTAGTGACCTATTGCAGTATAACTTAAAGATTGATATTAATAAGAGCTTTTTCAAAGATTTATATTCGATCATTAAGATTTTCCTCGTCAAAGTAAGTTCTTGTACCGTTTGCAGCATTTTGGAAGCCATGTCATTGAAATTTTCGTTTATATTGGAATATGGTTTATCTGATATGATTCTGATTAAAGCATCAAGGTTGAAATTTCGTTTTTGTTTTTTATAGATCATTTTATTAACATATTGTTTTCACTTTCAACGCCATGTAACTCGTTTAGAATTGGATACGTTTAGGCTTCTCAGTCCGTTACAATTTGAAATTTTACTTAATTAAATTAATTAATTACTAATTACCAATAGTTTTTTTGCTGTTATAAAAT